AAGCTGGATTTGTAATTTGCGAGAAAAATATATAGTCAACTCGATGCGTTAAACGTACAAGAAAAACGATTTTGCTGAAACATTTAAAAATTTAGCTAGATACAGATCTGAAAATAATTTTGTTGAACCATCAAAATAATTACGTAGAACACTAAACATTGATAACAATACTACAAAAAGTTTTAACATTTCAGCAATCAATTTAAGCGTTTTACATAATTATTTTAATAATCCAAAAAAAATTATTTTTATATCTATTTCTAGCTAAATTTTTAGATACTTTACACTGAAAATTTTAGATTTAGTTAGAAACTAAGTCTTAAGGAGATATTGGAATAATTATTTTAAATTATTGATATTATAGTCATATAAAAATCTCCAAATTGATTAAACGGGATCAAAAAATCTTTTTACAAGATTGAAATAGACGCAAAAATTAACAGGTAATACAGTGGTCTTTATACTAAAATCGAAAAAAAGTAAATTTTTAACTTTTCCGATTTTAGTATAAAGTCCACTGCACCACCTTCTAATTTTGTATCTACTTTAATTCTCTTGTCTTTAGTTAATACTATTCAAATAAATATTTATTAAAATTTAGTATATTTTTCAGTGCAGCAAAACCGTTCTTATCGTGTGAATTAATCTTTTTGACTACTGATTTTTGCTGCTGCATAAAATTAAATACGCTATTTTAATTGCGCAATTTGAAGATTAAATACAGACAATACTTCTCGTGCGAAAATATCATATCATGAATTGTAAACGATTAAATTTACTTTAAACTGCATTTAACGAGTAAAGTTCGCTCACTCAAGATTAAGTTAAGTATTTAACGAGATAAAGTTCACTCATTCAAGATCCATAACTACGCGGGTAAGCAAATAAGCATACATCATTTTAATGTATATTCGCTTTTGATTTCTATTGCCAGTTTTATTGATTTTTTACTTCCTACTACTGTCAGCCAAAAGTTAATAGCTAGTTACGTATAAACTGATTATTGTAAAACAAAATAAAATTGTAATTAATTTGTTCATGTCCTTTTCCGTTTATAATTAATTTACAACTTAAAACTTAGTTATATTGTGCAGATATAACATTGT